CATGGTGGCGCTGGTTTGGGGGGCGAGAGTCAGAAGTATGATGTGTGGAGGGTCCATCATCAGCGTGCACCATGTACTTACCGCAGCGCATTGCATCGACCCCCTAGTAGTCAATGGACAACTTATAGAGTAAGATTTCTACTTTTATTAAACTACTAGCTTTCGCCTGTGACTTCGTCCGCTTGGTCTTTGTTTCTTAGTGATAACGTAGCTTTTTAATGCAGAATTTATACCGGTTTCAAAGGAAATAGTTTTTGTCGGCCCAGTAGTTTTTGAGTTATTTCAATACATACTAAAATACAAATCTTTCCTTTTTATAATATTACTATAGATTAAACTACAGATCATTGTAGTAATTTTATATATGTAGTAATTTTAAACAGATAGATTTAGTTGTATTAACGTGTTAAAACATTTTTTTAAAATCTAAACATACCTATTATCTTGTCTTGTAAAAGACAACAAAGCATTTTTCCATAATAAGGTACAAATATTGGATTACGAAGACCACGAGCGTATAAACACTGCAATATGGCTTCAGTTACAATAATTGGATTTAACTAAACAAATGGTATTCCGATCATTATCAAATGCGATTTTATAATTTGTAAGGTTTTTTCAATACCATAGTCTATGCAAGGAAAATTACTTATTCCTTCCTTTCATCATTTCTTCCATCTTCCTTCATTGGTTCCTGACGCATACTTCTGTAACCTAGGGTTAAATATCGGATTTCCATTTTCTGTATTTTATCTCCTTCTTGTTATTTTGAAATAAAAACTGTAACGCGTAATGTAGAATCCAATTTCAGATCAACACGTGGTGTGGTAGGTTCAAACCAATGGAATTCAACGGAAGGTCTTGTTAAATTCACTAATTTTAAGAACCATCCGTCTTGGGACTATGCTCGTACTAAGAACGACATTGGCGTGTTATTTCTGGTCCAACCTTTGGTGCTGAGTGCGAGGGTAGGCGTCGTGTCTCTTAGCTTTGACTGGGTAGACGGGGACGTGTCTAGTTTTGTCACCGGTTGGGGGAGACTTGGAGCTGATTTGACGTCAAACAGTTTGGTAAGTTATATTCAATTTGCAAAATAAAAGACGATCATACTATACCAAAAAAACTATCAATATTAAAAAAAAAACAACTTTTGTGAAAGGTATACGAGATCACAAACACTGATGTATTTGTTGCAATCTACCAATTTTTTGGGGGATTTTTTATATTGATACTAGATTTCTCCCGAGATTCCGTCCGCGTGCAATTAAAAAAAAAAGTAAGTAGCCAATGTGTTCTTTCCGATTATCTTCTACATTTATGCTAAAGTTCATCGAGATCCGTTCAGCAGTTTAGGCTACGAACTCTAACAAACATTCATCTAGTTCGCATTTATAATATTAGCAGTAGTTAGATTTTTTTTCAAAAACATTATCGCGCTATGTTTCTCGTAAAAAAACCCTGTATTAAACAAAAGCTACTCCTCGTAGATCTTGTTCCCGTTCGCAGACAACTTGCAGTTAATAAATTTGAAGACGATGTCTCCTAGCGGCTGCAGCGCGGCGCTGGCCGCGTCCCCCGGCGCGGGGATCACACTGGACTCAGACCTGGAAATATGTACTTTCCATTCTATAGGACACGGACTTTGCTATGTAAGTATTTCCTATGCACCCTAATATGCTATTTAACGTTTCAATACAAATTTAATAATTTTTATACACATTTGCGTATGAAAATTCAAATATATTTTGTAAACCAAGCAAGTGTGGAACTAGCAAGCCCTTATCTCGTAAATTAACTGAAAAATTTGAATTGTGATATATCTACAGAGTTTGAGATTTGACATATTCCTGTTTATTTAATTTCGCCTATGGATTAAAATTATATTTCATTATATCTATTCTATTGTGTATTTTATGCCTAGTTCGCCAGGCTAATATTTTAGTCGAGTACGG